CGTCCATCCCTGGAGGTGTTCAAGGCCAGGATGGATGGGGCCCTGGGCAGCCTGGTCTAGCATTAAATGAGAAGGTTGGTGGCCCTGCGTGTGGTGGGGGGTTGGAGCTTCATAATCCTTGAGGTCCCTTCCAACCCGGGCCATTCTGTGATTCTGTGATTTGCAGCCTTCTGTTGTTTGTTTGGACCACAGGAAAATGCTGGACGTAGGAAGGACTCAGCTCAGAGTCTACAGCACTACAGCTTTGTATTCAAGGTTCGTTGAAGCAGGGAAGAACAAGAATCTATTTTCCAAATAGAAATCATCTGTCAGATCACTGATGTTAGGAAGGGGAAATTCCACCATGCAGTTGGCATTTGCTTCCTTCTTAGACAGCTTTAGTTTGACGTGACTGAGCTTATCGTGGAAGTTTTGTTTCTCCCACAGTTTTCTTTTTTTTCCTCTACAGTGGCTTATGGAAACTTGTACTGAGAAACTTATCATATGGACTGAATGAAATGTACAGAGCGTGTTTCCTTAGTGCACAGGTGAAGGAACTTCAGAAGTTCATCCCAGAGGTCACCGTCAATGACGTCCTCAGGTAAAGAAAACATTTCTTGTCAGTAACACCCTCTGGTTTGTTAAACCTCTTTTTTTTTTTCCTTTTTTTTTTTAACACCAGCAAATGCAACTCACTGCTTTCTTCCAGCAAAATGCACTACCAAATCATAAAAGTATATTGATGCTTTCCACAAGAAGGCGTCTGAGGAATATTTGTTTTACTTTTAGTCTCCATTGGCTGAAATTCACAGAAGAAACCAAAAAGAAAACAATTCTTCATAATTTCAGTCCACAAAGAGAGTAAGCACTAGTGAAATTAATTAGTGAATGGCTAGTGGATGGGAAAGCCAGGGAGCTGTTACTGATGCTACTAAAGGGAGGGATGTAGGATAACTCCTCGTATTTGGAAGACTGCTAATTGACCCTGAACATATGGTTTAAAACATAGCTGTTTAATGAAAAATGGAAGGGTGTAGTGCTGGAAAAGGACTGGAGCTGGCAGAGATTCTAAGAAGTGCTTGCATTTCTGTTTTGTACAAGGAGAAGGACAGTGATGTTGCTACATGTGTACTTAAAGGTACTGTGTCTTCAGATAGAAGCAAATAATGACTTGGTTTGAATGCGTCAATAAAATTGCATTCAGCTTCATAATGTGAGGAGAGAGAAAAAGGAATTCAAAGGAGTATAGAAATGATAAGGAAATGAAGAGACTTGTCAGGAAATGTGAGGCGTTTAGAATACTTGGGGATGATTTTAACTGTCTAAATATTTGCAGGGAGAAAATGCAGTATAAGAAAGAGCTCAAGCATGGTAAAAAGGAGTTACTGAACTCAGGCAGTATACCTCTGGCATGAAATTCATGTTTGATGAGGCTTGCCATTTCAAAACAAAGGATTCCCTTTTGAAAAGAGAGGGCTTGATTGTGTGTTTGGGAGGGAGGGTAACTTCACAATGAGGAAAAATACAGAAAATCCTCTGCCTGGCTACCCGCCCTCGTTCTGTTGTAATCACACTCCTGCTCTGCCTCTCAGGGTGTTCAACTGCCCTGTGCTCCCCCAGCAACACAGCAGCTGCTCTCATTGCTTTTTCCCTGTGCATCTTCACAAAACTGGAACACAACTGATTTTTGGACTTGAGAAAACTCCGAAGTTCACAGCCTTCAGGAATGACTTGAAATGGAGGAGGGGAAATTTTCTAACAGCCCAGAGGGGGAATAGCTTCCTTATAGGAAGAATTAGTAGCTTGTGAAACATAATTTCTTAAATGTTGTAATGTTTACACTATTGCTTTGGAGACTTAAAGCTAGTCAGAATGGAAAAATGGAATGATTTCCCGTATGAAGACAGGCTAAGGGAGCTGGGCTTGTTCAGCATGGAGAAAAGAAGGCTGCAGGGTGAGCTCACTGCAGCATTTCAATACCTAAAGGGAGCCTACAGAGGGGAGGGGAATCAACTCTTGGAAAGGGTAGATAACTGCAGAACAAGGGGAAATGGTTTTAAGTTGAGGGAGGGCAGATTTAGGTTGGACATCAGGGGGAAATTCCTTGCAGAGAGAGTGGTGAGGTACTGGAACAGCTGCCCAGAGAGGCTGTGGATGCCCCGTCCATCCCTGGAGGTGTTCAGGGCCAGGTTGGATGGGGCCCTGGGCAGCCTGTTCTAGCATTAAATGAGGAGGTTGGTGGCCTTGCATGTGGCAGGGGGGACCTCAAGGATCAATAATCTCCAACCCTGGCCATTCTGTGATTCTGTGAATGATCTCTGCAGCTTTGTTTGCAGAGGACAAACTTGCTGTTCAGGACTGGAGAGGTAAAGTCCCACGCTGCAAGTGTTTGGTGAGCAGAGAACGGTTGGAATAAGTCTTCTGGGCTTGTTCTGTTCCTGTATTGGCTTTGACTGTGGTGGAAGGCAAGCTGTTAGGGTAGGTGGGCCTATGGTCTGACCCAGCAGGAATGTTCTTGTTGGGTTTGTTACAGATAGCACAAATCACCACCCTGGGGGTTATTTTCCAGTAAAAGAGAACTCTTGATTCTGGTTTCTTTAGCTCCAAATAAACAATGCATTTATGTTTTTTCTTGTATCCAGCCAAGGTGGTAACACCCAGTGGGGTGTTGTAGAATGGCAGAAGTGGACAAGCAAGCTAGTGCCTGTTGAATGGAAGCAAATTTCCTAGACTGACTCATAACCAATTGTGTAAAATCTTTGGTTTTGCCACCAGAGGGGCACAGAGACTCTGATGAGATGTAAACTTATATAGAATTAGTCTGCAGCTATTATGTCGGATTTCTTCCCATGAGGTGCTCAGAGCCCCGTCCAGCCTGATCTTGAATGTCTCCAAGGATGAACCTTGAAAATATCTATGTGAAGAAATTGCTCAGAGTTGTATTTACATTCTGAGTGAATGTGTCAAAGCTTGGATAAAAGTGTATAATTTTAAAAATCTAACTTCAGATAAGACTCCTCTTTTTGATTTAGAATGGAGCACACCAGTGTCTTACCTTTTCCTTTGTTTCTGTGGTTTATGAATGTTGTAACTAATTTCTGGATCTTCTGCATTTTCTAAGAGGGGTTGCTAATAATACCTCTAGCTTTTATCATATTTCAGGTAAGCTGACTGGCTGGTTACAACATTTTCTTTCTGATGGTGTGCTCCTCCTTTTTTGCAGGGGTCCATCTGGAGTGAGAGCACAAGCGTTGGACAGCGACGGAAATTTGGTAGATGACTTTGTATTTGATGGTGGCACTGGAGATATTGGAAGCAGAATTCTTCATGTCAGAAACGCCCCTTCTCCTGCTGCCACCTCCTCCCTTGCCATTGCAGAAATGATTGCTGATGAAGTGAAGCGAAGATTTGAATTGTGAATGATTGCCAGGTGCAGGGCTGTTTTACTCCTCTTGCATGTGTAGCAGCTTGTCTGAACTCTGCAGCCTTTAATGATGAAGACAAAACAGGCAGCGTGTTGCTGGTACAAGATGTGCAGTGCAAAAACAGCACTTGAAATGTTTGCCAGCCCACAGCTTGTCAGCTTCCCAAGTAAAGGATGTTTGGTGCCAGGCAAGACCTGCTATGGTGCTGCCATCTGCAAGAACCAAGCAAATGGACCACTCACAGTGAGGGCTTGTCTGCTGGCTCAGCTGGAGCAGGCTGTGGAAGGGTTGGTGCTCGGTGCAGGGTGAGGTTCTCCCACCAGGTCCACAGTAGGTGGGGAAAGAGGAATCTCTGTGATTGGTTTGCCCACCTCTGAAGAACCCCCAGGCACTGGTTCTGTGCACTGTCTCTCTGTCTCTTTAAATTGGCTTGGAGTCATCAGACCCCTCACTTATGTTAAAATAATGGAGATAGAAGGATAAACCCTGCTTAAGGATTCTTCTGCAGATACAGAATTAAAGACTTTAGTGGAGACTGAAAACCATATTCAGAGCTATGTACTGAAATGTAGAATATTTCAGAGAGAAATAAGCCTGGCAAGAGATTACCAAACCCAAGTCAATTTCGACTGTGAATCTGAATTGCATCTTTATTTTATCTATTTTAGTACAGAGCTGAAATTAAAATGTATATAGAATCAGACATTTTTCATTTGGCTTAGATGTGGGAAGCTACCATAAATTGGGAACTACTTTGATGGTTTGAGTTGTCAGTTTTTTTTTCTCGTTTGTTTTTACTCTTTGAATACTGGTAGGACAAAAGAAGCTTATCTTTGTACAGCATGTTGAGCAATCCAGTGGAAACGGCCTTTGTAAAAGCAAATGTGCAGGGAGGGAAGCTCCAGAAACCTGTCTTAACTGAGTCATGTTGCATACTGCTTCCCTTGGAGCCCAGCAGCGGTGAGTCAGGAAGGCTTCCCATTTCCCTCCTGGCTGCAGGAGGAGAGCTCACCCTTACTGGTGTTTGAAGCTTTATCAAAGGTGCACCCAGAAGAGAATCCACGTGGAGAACATGCTGTAAAATCCAACGAGATGTGAAACAAGTTCTGAGTTAACTGAGCATCTCAGTGTGTTCTGCATAATTGCTGCAAAAGGAAATACATGGCCTCAGGGGCAAAGCACTTCAGAATATTCTTAAAGCAGATGTTCACAGGATGTTGGGTAACAGATAATTGTGGGTAGTTTGCTACCAGGCAATTTGCCATGTGCTTTTTTTTTTTTTTTTTTTTTTAATGTTGCTTTCTGTAGTTCTCTGCCGTGCACAGAGGAGGTCAGGTATGCAAATAATGAGCCTTTTGAAGAAAAGTTGTTTGCTGTGAGAGTGGTGAGGTGCTGGAACAGCTGCCCAGAGAGGCTGTGGATGCCCCGTCCATCCCTGGAGGTGTTCAAGGCCAGGTTGGATGGGGCCCTGGGCAGCCTGGGCTGCTCTGAAATGTGGAGGTTGGTGGCCCTGTGTGTGGCTGTGGGTTGGAGCTTCGTGATCCTTGAGGTCCCTTCCAACCTGAGCCATTCTGTGATTCTGTGAAAAGCTCTCACCTGTATTCCTGCCCACAGTAATACTCAGTGAAGGTTCACATGTTCCAAGTGCTGTAATGTTGTACAGTGGTATCTCACAACGGAACAACCATATCTCTGCTCCCCTCCAGAAGTGTTGCCAGTCAACAGTAAATACTACAGAAAGATTGCAAAAGCGACTTCCTCCCACACGAGGTGTGGCCCTGACATGTATTAACAGAACAAGAACACTACCCTGTGAAGCAGTCACACACCACAATGAGTCTTAGTGCATTTAACGTGTGCCCTGCTGTGCTTTTTACTCTCAGGTGATGGTAGCATTTAACTGAAGCCAGCAGCATATTTGTATTTTTAAAGCTTGCTATAAACCTTTTGTAAAGGAATAATTCTGTGAACGATGATAATGAGACTTAACACATCACTCATGTATTGCCCACGAAGTATGAAAATGTATGAATATATGTATTTTTAAAGGGTCCAGTTCACTTGGATGGCTCAGTCAGCTTGCCTTTCTCTGTTGTGATTAAAATAGTGTATTTTTCAAAAAAAAAAATTGCTGTAAGGTCTCTGTGTCACTCCTGACTTAGAGCAAAGCTCTACTGGCAGTTGCTAACTCTCATCTGATGTAGATGGGATGCAGCTCTGCATCACAGGAGTTACTTTATGCCTTTCTTTAGGGGATAGGGAGCTCATCTTCCCAAAGCACCTGTATCTTACAACACTGCAACAGCTTTTTGTCACAGCGGATAGAACTGCTGCTAAGCCTCATCCTCATCATAGACAGTCCCAAGTTGGAAGCGGGTGAGGCACTGGAACAGGTTGCCCAAGGAGGCTGTGGATGCCCCATCCCTGCAGGCATTCAAGGCCAGGCTGGATGTGGCTCTGGGCAGCCTGGGCTGCTGGTTGGCGACCTGCACACAGCAGGGGGTTGGAACTGGATGAGCATTGGGGTCTTTTTCAACCCAGGCCATTCTAGGATTCCATTGGGATCACGGAGTCCAACTCCTGGCACAACCCAAATGATGAAATGCTGACAGCCCCACGCTGTGGCTCACTGGATGGCTGCCCTGGGAGAAACTGAGATCCTTCATTTCACTGCATTGTGTGCCATTGTAGCATCGATTTTAGGGCCACCACTGCCTCACCTTGGAGCAGCTGGGGCTGCCTGCGGGCAGGGATGTCCCACCTAGAGGAACACAGGCGGTGGGGGCTTGGAGCTGCACTGTGGGTTATGCTTTTCTCTTTGCTCACACTTTGGGTTTGATGAATGAGAAATAAAGGCTGTTGGAAACTAACCAGCAAACAGCACGGGGCAGGAGGAGCTGCCAGTGCCCAACAAAGCATCACAAAGAAATGCAGTGCGTTCTGACGTGCTGCATCCCTTTGTAGAGAAGCCCTAAGAAGAGGTTATGTAAAGTGCGAGCCGGGAATGCAGTGAGCTCGGCTGCTCGGGAGGCGGAGGGGACTGAAACCAGCGCTCTCTGGGGGGGTGAAAGGAACTGCCCGCAGCTAGGGCGAGGCTGCTGTTGACGGGTTACTGAGCAACACGCCGCTGGTTTTTCCCAGGACGGCCGTTCTGCTTGATTCTTCCGTCAGGGCAAGGCTGCTTTACAGGATCACAGAATGGCTTGGGGTTGGAAGGGACCTGAAGGATCATGAATCTCCAACCCCAATGGCCACCAACCTCCACATTTCACAGCAGCCCAGGCTGCCCAGGGCCCCATCCAACCTGGCCTTGAACACCTCCAGGGATGGACGGGGCATCCACAGCCTTCCAGTAAAGAGGGAAGGAATAAGGGAATGCAGGTGAAGGGGCTGCCGGGGGGCGGCGCCGCGCTGCGACCCCCGGATCTCAGCACGATGCCCCGAGCGGCGCAGGCCGGCATCGCGCCGAGATCCGGGGGGTCGCAGCGCGGCGCCGCCCCCCGTAGCGCTGAGCGCGACGCGGCCGGCAGGTGGCGCCATAGCGGTAGGGCAGAGGGCGGCGCGCTGAAGGCGGCGCATGCGCGCTGAGGGCGGCGGCGGTAGCGGGCCGCAAGGAGCGGGGCCGACGGCTCCTCAGCCGCCGCCCCGTCAGCGCCCGGCGAACGGCACGGAGCCCGGCCCTCTACCGCGCCGGATGTGATGGCCGCCCGGGCGGGGGGGCGAGCCTAGCGCTGCCCGGCCCGGCTCGGCTCTGACGGGCGGCGGTGGCGGCTTCTCCTTCCCCTCGTCGCTCCCTCCTCGGTCCGGGGAGCGACTGGGCGGGTTGTCCCGATGCGGAAAGCAGGCAGCAGCCATGCAACCGCCGCCGCAGCCCTACGAGTTCTTCGGTGAGGAGAACGGCCCGAAATGGCGGGGGCTGTTCGTGCCCGCCCTGCGCAAGGTCAGTCCGGGGGTGGCGGTGCTGAGGGCACCGAACTGAGGTGCCGCTAAAGGGACCGCGTCGTGCCGGGCTGCTGGCTGGGAGCGGGGTTAAAGGAGGAAGGGCTCCTTCGTACACGCGGGGGCTTCGTGCTTTGGGTTGGGTGTCGGAGGGAAATCCTTCGCCCTGAGGGCACGGCACTGCTCACAGGTGTGGGCCCAGCAGCAGAGGGGTGGCCGGCAGGGACAGGGAGGTGATTGTCCCCCTCTGCTCTGCTCTTGTGAGGCCCCCTCTTCAGTGCTGTGTCCTGGGCTGGAGCCCCCAGTACAAGAAAGACAGGGAGCTGTTGGAGAGGGTCCAGAGGAGCCACAAAGATGAGCAGGGGCTGCAGCATCTCCACTACAAAGACAGGCTGAGGGAGCTGGGCTTGTTCAGCATGGAGAAGAGAAGGCTGCGGGGTGACCTCATTGCAGCCTTCAGTACCTAAAGGGAGCCTACAGACAGGAGGGGAGTCAGCTCTTGGAAAGAGTAGATAACTGCAGGACAAGGGGAAATGGTTTGAAGTTGAGGGAGGGCAGATTTGGGTTGGATGTCAGGGGGAAGTTGTTTGCTGTGAGAGTGGTGAGGTGCTGGAACAGCTGCCCAGAGAGGCTGTGGATGCCCCGTCCATCCCTGGAGGTGTTGAAGGCCGGGTTGGATGGGGCCCTGGGCAGCCTGGGCTGCTGTGAGATGTGGAGGTTGGTGGCCCTGCGTGTGGCGGGGGGTTGGAGCTTCGTGATCCTTGAGGTCCCTTCCAACCTGAGCCATTCTGTGGGTGCCACATCCTTGGAGGTGCCTGAGATTATGGGTAGCTTACAGCAATGGTCTGGGGCCCTTTCTAACCCCAGGCAGTGCTGTGTTCAGGCAGTGGGTGCTGTGCCACACTGCAGTTAGGTGCCCATGGTTAAAGCACCCCACGTCACCCTGGCACAACCCATCATGTAGAGAGGTGGGGCTGCATGGCAGTTTGACCCTGATGGGTCTCATTAAATCTAAATGGCTTCTCCGGTTGTGAAATAAGATGTAAAAGTCAGAGAACTAATGCTGCTCCTAACGCTGCTAACCACTTCTGTACGTTTGGGTCAAAAAAACCCAACAGAGCAGGGTCTCCATTCTGTGAGCTTTCTTTCTAACCAGAGAAAATAAATTTTCAACCCCAGTGGCTGCTTGTTAAAATGTGCGATTACTTATAGGTGTCTTTTCTCCTCCTGGGAACGTTCCTTGTCTGCTGTACCCACCCTCTAGCATGAAGCAATCCCACTGTAAGGTGTGCTTCTTTTCTGAGCATTCAGTATCAGTGAGTCAAAACAAAGCGGTCTCATCGTTCTGGCTGCTGCAGGCTGTGCTGGAGGTGCTGCCAGCTGGGAAACCCTGCCTGAAAGATGGGATGCTCGGATACAAACACGGATGGGGATGGGGGTCTTTAAACCAGAATGTGTTAGAAATTCGTGGCTTACTGCCCTGTTTACATCTTGCACTCTGGTAACAAAAGCATTGCTGTTATTGATGGGATAGCTGAAAGCTGTTCCACTGAAATCCCACTGTGCATCAAAGAAACAGGTTGGTACTTTCTGCATTTAGAAGGCATTGCAGCTGTATATTATTAGTCTGTAAGTTAATTCTGAATCGAGTTGGAGCTGTGTTGGAACACTCCCTATCTGCACTACTGTGTCCAGGTCTGGAGCCCACAGTACAAGAAAAACAGCTGTTGGAGAGGGTCCAGAGGAGCCACAAAGATGATCAGGGGGCTGGAGCACCTCCCCTATGAGGACAGGCTGAGGGAGCTGGGCTTGTTCAGCA